AGCAGATACGCGCAGGTCACAATGCAACCACAACAAAATAAAACTGTCCTAATAAAATGATTGAAATAATAATGGACAGAAGAATACATTTCAAGTTGCACACCTGTTTATCTCTGGAGCGTCTGTTCACTGGCAGGAAGTGTAAACATCAGCAGGGAACAGATGAGCAGATTGTGAAAATAAGTGAAAAGGCAACAGCAGAGTATATTTGCACTTAATCAAGAACACCTCCATCAGTGTGGAACTCGCAGGTGCCTGGGACTCATTTTTCTTTAATAATTGAATGTAGACATTAATGTGACATACATGTGATTGCTAGTGCAGCATCACTAACCCGAGGAGCTGGTGAAAGCAGAGGACACTGGAAGCTGCCACAGCTTGGTGTTGGCTGCCAGGTTTTGAATGTAAACCTCATCCACTCTGAGGAGGATGTTTTCTGGCTTGATGTCTGTGTGGATAATCTTGCATTTAGTGTGCAAGTAATCCAAACCCTGCAGAACCTGTGATAAGGAATGAAAACACAGTCACTGTCACTGCACCCCATGTCAATGAGGAGCATAACTAAAAGCTCAGTCAGTGGTGAAAGGAGGATTTAAGATGGAATAAAGGGTTGCACAGCACCTGTCTGATGATGCTCTTAACGCAGGGCAGGGGGAGGCCAGTGTAGTTAGATTTGACGATCCACCTCAGCAGCTGGTGGCCCAGCACCTCCAGAACCATGCACACATCTGGTGAGCAATTAAGGACCTTGTTTCTTACTGTATAGTTTATAATTATAGTTTAATATTATATAATTTCTGAGGTATTTGGAGAAGATAAACATTTTGACACAATTTCGCCTTAAAGTCCTTCCACTGTTGTATAAGGATGATGTCATCATGGTTGTATGTGTAGGCACACTTAACAGCAGATGATCAGAATACTTGATGGAAAATCAATACCTGCACCACTCAGATTAGGCAATGCTATTATATGTAAAGGATACGCTCTCCGTTCACTCCTGTGATCCTGAAGTCGTCAATGAGGTGCACGATCCTCTCACGCTTTAGATCTTTGGGGTCACTGTCCCTTACCTCATGGTCATATAGTAAACATATTACAGTATAAACAAAAACTGAAATGTATAACAAATAACTTCCTAACATCTTTAAAATGCAATGAAATGGCAACTATTTTGATTGATGATGATGAAAATAATATAAGCCACAGTGAGAGATGGTGGTGGTGTGTATTTAATTATAAAAAAATCATTGCAGATAGGCCGAGCAACTGGTGATATTACAAAACGTGAGAGCTGCCGGAGAGCTTTACACACAATATTATCTAGTATAAAACTCCTGCTATGACATTGACTCAAATTGCATTTTATGCCACCATTAACTCACATATACTGAACAAGGCTGGTCAAAATAAAAGCCCACTCGAAAATGGGAAGTTTTACTGCATTGGGGGGGCCAGGGGGTCGACAAACCAGTCAGTATCTAGTGTGACCACCATTTGCCTCACGCAGTGCAACACATCTCCTTCACATAGAGTTGATCAGGTTGTTGATTGTGGCCTGTGGAATGTTGGTCCACTCCCGTTCAATGGCTGTGCGAAGTTGCAGTCAGGTCGAGACCCCGATGTGGACGATGAGCATGCAGATGACCTTCCATGAGACGGTTCCTGACAGTCTGTGTAGAAATTCTTTGGTTATGCAAACCGATTGCTGCAGCAGCTGTCCGGGTAGCTGGTCTCAGACAATCTTGGAGGTGAAGATGCTGGATGTGGAGGTCCTGGGCTGGTGTGGTTACACGTGGTCTGTGGTTGTGAGGCTGGTTGGATATATTACCAAATTCTCTGAAACACCTTTGGAGACGGCTTATGGTAGAGGAATGAACATTCATTTCACGGGCAACAGCTCTGGTGGACATTCCTGCTGTCAGCATGCCAATTGCACACTCCCTCAAAACTTGCCACATCTGGGACATTGTCCTGTGTGATGGAACTGCATTTTTGAGTGGCCTTTTATTGTGGCCAGCCTAAGGCACACCTGTGCAATACCCATGCTGTCTGATCCGCATCTTGATATGCCGCACCTGTGAGGTGGATGGATTATCTTGGCAAAGGAGAAGTGCTCACCATATCAGATTTGACAGATATGTGAACAACATTTGAGAGAAATAGACCTTTTGTGTACCTAGAGAAAGTCTTAGATCTTTGAGTTCAGCTCATGATGAATGGGGGCAAAAAAGCATTGCGTTTATAATTTTGTTCACTGTATTAGTGAATCTTCTTGCTCCATAACCACCACAATAGAGGTTTTCTGTGCTAACAATACTCTTGTCAGGTCTACTACCTGTATATTGTACTACTGAAAACTATGCACATCTCTAAAAAAGCTTCTTAAAAGCAATGCAGTCACACTGACACATTTTAGAAGTTTGATCTCATCCAGGGCCGTCTCTGTGAATGTCTGAGCACTCTTCACCACCTTCAGAGCCACAAAACACCTCTTCCTGCGTGCAAACAAATATGACAGTTAGCTACTATTATGTTAATTATATCATCACTACATTTTGTTATTAATTTTTATAAGAAAAGTCAAATCGGTCAAACCCGTACTCACACCATATCCCAGCAGAGCCAAACAGTAGAGAAATGACCCCATCCCAACTTTTTAACCACTTGGTAACAGTCAACAAAAATCTCTCCAATCTCTACAGGGTAGTAACCACCTGCAACACAATGTAACGCCAACATCAAGGAAAAGGTCTCAACCAGTGTGTTGGAGTGTGGTGTTGGGGCGCTGCCTACCAATGCCATAGTCGGCAGGATTCTCCTGTTGCTCATCATAAGTTCCCAGAAGCTCAGGGGAATGAGGATGTGTCTGTACAGCTGGAGGACAGTGGGCAGGTTTGCTGCACGGGGAGGAAGGTTTAGGACTCACTGCTGTGTCTGGGGATGTGTGAGGGCTGGGTTTGACAGCTGGATTTGAAGAGCTGGCTGAATGGAGGGCTGATATAGCAGCAGCATATGAGGATGACATGATTACTGTAACCAGAGCCTGATGAGTTTGAGCACAGCTGAAGATGGGCCCAGATGACAGCTACAACAAAAATGCATTTGCATACTTTCAAAAATGGAGTTCTTCAATCATATGTCTCTGAAACAATAGTTCACTAGCTGTTTGTCTCTGGCAGCTAGTTTGTACTTTAAGTCACTGATTGCAAGAAGTTGTTTGCAATGACATTTCAGAGGGGTGAGTGAAATGTATGTTTATTTTTAGCTGGATGAGTGGCATGTCAACGTAAATAGCTCCTGACACTGCCCGGGCCGCAACAGAACTCGTCCCGATATTGCATGGACAACAACAGTGTGGGCACCACAGTTGTAAACATGGACGGCTGGCAAGTCAAATTAATTCAAGTTCATTCAGGGAGATTTGGCTAGAGCTATTGATTTGGTAAGACAGTAATAAGTGATTTAAAAAATACAGTCTTTCAGGCAGCTCTCACTGCACTCAGTAAGTGGTAAGGCAGCTTATTTTTGTGTGGTTGTACACTCTAATGGTACAGATGTCTACAAGAGAACAAGACATCTAACGTCAAATGAAAAATAGAAAATTGCCAAGTATTACAGGTACTTCAAAATAAAAGTCTAAAATTTGTACCAGCAGTACATCAGTCTTGGTTTCCATCATAAAAGTTTATACTGTTTACTGTTATTTCCATTGTACAGTGCATAACAGTTTGCTTGTTTGTTTGAATATGCATTGCTTGACATGCTAAAAATATTCAGTGCACATTTTGCCAGTCTTTTACATTTTTCTCATTGTATTAATAAAAAATCATAGTTCTGAGACAAAACCGTTGAGGAAAATAACGTAGGTTAATAACGTGCAGCTCGTTTTCACACAAGTGCAATATTTAGGTTCATTTGAACCAACTGTTTGATGACTTCCGGTCATTTTTGCTCAGTCAAACAGTTTTATTCTGAAGGTTTTTGCAGGAAGTCTAGTTTATTCTAGTGCTGAGCTATTTAAGTGCAGTACCCTACATGTTGTTGGCATCTCCTAACGATGAGACTTGGTAGTATAACAACTCAGTGAGTCTTATTCGCTCGTAATAAGTACTCAACAACATTAGAGGAGGAGCCTACTTACCCCTGTGTGTGATATATCCAGTTTTAATATCTGCAGCGTGGGAAATAAAATCAGCCTGGCATGAGTACCGCAAAGTCCCCCAGCCCGCGTGCTGTGCTCCTCACTGTGGTCCGTGTGACTGAAAAACACTCATGTCCAGGAATAGCAAGCTGCTGCTTCTGCTGCTGCTTCTGCTGCTGCACTGTGTTTCTAACATTTATCACCATGTTCTATTTCCAGCGGTGGTGACCTTCTCACCACCGCTGGAAATATCCCTTATCTCTTTTATAAAAATTATTTTATCTTTGACTTTCTTCTATAGGAAGAACCACAAAAAGTGCCATAACACGGAAGAGCAGTGTTAACTTCATCTTGTGTAGCAATATAACAGTTACACTGTACAAGATTTTTTTTTTGTGATATTGATCACAAATCATCATGAATCCAAAGAAAATTCATTTTAAACACTTTTTAAACAAGTGCTTCTGAAATTAGATTACCTCTTCTGAAGACTGTATGGGTGAGTACACTATCCCTGTTAGTTTGTTGCACCTGTTGTTATGGAACAACTTAAGACATTTATCATTTTTACTTGTACATAAAGTCCGGTGACATTATATAATTCCCAAAACTGGCCTTTTTCTTCGTAGGTTTTTGTTGGGGGCTTTGTTTGCCTTTATTACAGTGTAGACATGAAAGGATGTTTTTCTGTCAAGAGGCGAGATAACTGAAATTATTATTTTTTTTAATTAAATGTATTAGATGTATTAAAAACAAAAACAGAGTAAAGAATGAGAAACAAAAACACAGAAAACTGTACTGCTTCCACTATTACTGTATGTCTTACTATAAACAAAAAAATCTGAGACATTCTGTGTTGATTTGAACATGACACTTTATTAAGTAGAATGAATGCACAATCTCATACATACAGTATAGGACAGGCCTGTCTAGTCTTATTTCATATAGGCCTGGATATAAAGAGATGAGAGAAACAGAAAACAACTGCACTTAAAAATTAAAATTAAAATATTAAAATATTAACACATCACACTGCTGAAAAAATGTTTTTAACACACATTACCAGTTCTCACACTGATGAGAAAGAGCTACAGTAGATAGCTACAAAATGTTATAGGTTCATAAATAGAATATAGTTTGAATAAATTTGCTTCAGAGCTGAATTTAGCTCATTAATTTTCAACTTACATTACATTTTATGAAAAATACATTTATGACCCCCAGTGCACAGCAGTTTGGTCTTTGATTTTAGGCTTTAACCAGCTGGAAGAAGCAGTATGAAACTGGATACTGAGAGGACGTGAACACACCAGAAGAAACCAGGTAACATTCAACAGTGTGCTACAGTTTGTAACAAAGTAGAAAACAACATCACTTATGACAAACGTAAAGAATTACATTCAAATGAGTCCCAAGATGGCCAAAGATCAAGTACATTAAATGGAAAAAAATACTTTAAAAAAATATGTTAAGTTCTGTTTACACTAAGAGGACTTCAGTTATTATTCAGATTTTTCTGAAGTTTCCATTGTAGAACGCTATCAAGACTCTGGTTGCTAAATTATATCAGAATATATTTCACACATCACTACTCTGATTTTAAAAAATGTAAAGTTTTTACAAACAACACAAAACCATACACATGAAATGAGTTGAAATCATGACAAATACAAAAATCAGCCTGCATGAATTCTCATTACCAAATGTACTGGTGTGAGACCTGCTCACACCGTCATTCAAAACTGCAGCAGCCCTATTCTGTTCACACCACCAATCTCACTTTTTACAACCAATTAAATAGTGCTCACTTGGGGGTGGAATGAGTTGGGCAGGTTATTTTGATTAAATACATATTATGTGGTTAGTTTAAAAATTACATTGTTAGTACGGGAATAGAATATCAGCTTCAAACTCATCAGTACAATCCACACTATATACAGACTAACACTCAGATAGACCTTCAGTAGATGTTGACAAAACTCACTTTTCTTAATGTTTCCCAATTATAAACCCTGTCAAAACATTCCTATTGTCTGTCATCTCTCTTGGAGACACTTTTATAGGGAATTAAGGCTTAAGATGTTCATAAAGTGCTCCATACGACTTTCAAATCCTCCACAACTAAATACAGAAAAACTGATTTGATACGAGTAAATTATTGGCATATAGTCATGTGCTACTGCCATACAGCAGGTCTCACAACAACCCTCAAGTTTACCCTAAAACTGGTCTAATTATTCTGTCAAGGTCAGCACAGAGAAAGCCGCATGTATCAGCCAGCACCGAGCTGAATATAGAAAACAAATTGACAAATCTCAATATATATGACATCATTCCAAGTACCCTAATTTCATGACATCGTGAATTGCTTTCAATTTTTCCTTACAAGATTTTAATGCTAGCATTTCACATTATTAGAAAGTACTTTACTTTTCTCACCAGTGCCTAACCAATGCCTAAAACATTTAGGCACTCCTGCGTGCTACAACAGTACGCTACAGTTCATGGCCCTTCCTGTATCAAACGTGAAAAGTACAAATGGCTGCGAAATTAATGGCGGATGAAGACTGAAGCATGTTTCTGCATTTTACATAGTTTACATAGTAACACACATTCACCGGCATGTACTAATACTTTTGAAATGATGTGAGCTCATATAACATCTTTGTATATCATACGATTAATGAGCAATAAATTACCTCTTTAATATAACTGTTCTTTATATCACAGAAGATACAAAATAGTAATTTAGAGTTGTATATATTCTGTAAAAAATTATATCTCGGGAGACTTTTCAGGGCTATTAGCAAGGATTTTACTGCTCGTGTAGGACCAGAAATATATGAAGTACAGCATGACCAAGTTATTAGATACTGTATAAGTGGGATAAGTTATAACACGGGGAACTTGCCAAGGCCTTTTCACGCTGTACAGCTACAGTTTGTCATTTATTCCAGTCTCTTTCTGCTGAGGTTGCCGTGTTTTGCTTTGCTGTTGAGGTCACATTGTATCAACTTGACTGTGTGACTATGTGAGTCTTAGTGATGTGTGTGTGAGGCTACAGTGTTGTTGCTCATAAAATGTACTGTGTGTGTGTGTGTGTGTGTGTGTGTGTGTGTGTGTGTTCTGCTGCTTCAGACTAAGGTGCCTGGGTCTGCACTGGGTTCCTTTGGGGTCACCTCTTGCATCTGTGGCTGAGGAGTGTCCTGATAGAGAGAGAACTCCATCGACCTGTTGGGGACGAGCAAGACAAATCAATACAGCACTCCACAAACATGAAGCGGGAAGTGGAGGGTAAAACCACAGTAGGGACACATCTTCATGAAATAAAAAGTGTGAATCATGGTCAGAATATAACAGAGCGTGGACTGCTGTCTGTCACAAGCCACTTGAGAAAAATCAAGAAAGCCTATGAATAAGAAAACATGAGTGTTTTTGATCAGGAGACATCCGAGTGCCCGGATGTTGGCATGAGGCAGAAAGATGCAGGTAATGCTGACCACGCAAAATACAAACACAAACAACCACCATTGTAAAAGTCACAGGATGATAGATGGTTGGGAATAGAGTGAGAGTAATAGCACCATCCTCTGCTGGAAGGCTTGCTGCTAACCTCCAGTGAGAAAGATATTTAAAGAGGTCATATTATGCTCATTTTCAGGTTCATAATTTTATTTTGGGGTTGTACCAGAATAAGTTAAAATGGTTTAATTTTCAAAAAAATGTCATACTGCACATTGCTGCAGCACCTTTATTCACCCTGTGTGTTGAACACTCCGTTTTAGCTATCTAGTGAAGCATCTCACTTCTATTTGATCTTTGTCGGGAGTTGCACATGCAAAGTTACTACTGTTAGACTACTAGTCAATCAGAAGCAGAGTAGTGCGGCACATTTATTCTTTCTTTCACTTAACGTAAAAACGTAATGTTTTAACTGTGCACTGTCTCTGCATCCCAGTAATAACTTTACATTCATTGACTGCCTGGAGGGTATCTTATGTTATTTTAGATAGGATATTTTAATTTCATATTTAGGTCATTGAGGGTGTGCCACATTAGCCGCTAGGCGAGTGTTATGACACATGTTACATAGTAACATAGATAGGTTATGGAAGTAAAGTCTGGATTACAATCGAGCTGTTTTCAGGCAGTAATTTCTATGGGAGATGGTGACTCCCTTCTGGGTGGACTTCAGGCCTTTTCACTTTGCAAACTTATTACATGCATAACAATGATATATAACATAATAAAATATAAGGGGAAAAAGCCAAAAAGCATTATATGACCTGTTTAAGTGAATCTCAGTGTTAATACTGAAAGACTGACTGTATGTGCACACACATGCATGTTGGTATTTGCAGTTCAATAAAATGTATCTTTATGCAGAATCTATTCTAAAACATACAAACTGCCCCTTGAAATCAGACAAAAACACATCTCTTAAAAGTGACAGACCTAACCCGAAAACGTTTCTTGTGCTTTGAGTGCAATGTAACATAAAACAATGCACAATAATGAAAGAACATGTTCAGTTCCTTTAGGCTTGTTTGTTTTGCCAGTTATTATGATGTATGAGCGTGAATTCTTTCTCACAACACTGATGATTCCCACCTAGAGACAAACAGGTGTAAAAGAGACAAAGCAACAAGAATACTGACCTTCCATGCAGCGGGTGACCGTGAAAGCTGGCTGACTGGGGCATCTGAGACCTGTGGAGGTTGGCTGGTTCACCTTGAACAGACTGGGCCTGGTGCACTAGAGGGTGGGGGTGCGAGAGGCGAGATATCCCTGCCTCGTGGCCCTTTGAGGCAGCAGGAGGATAGCCGAGGGCGTTCCTCAGGTACCAGTCCCTCAGTCCCTCCAGAGCCAGGGCTTTATGCAAGCTTCGCGTTGAGTCCTCTGGGGTCGGGAGAGAGAACTGTGGGGGTCTGCGGCTGAAGGAGGGGCCAGACAGCTCGGTCTGGTAAGGATGTAGGTTGGGTATGGAGGATGTGGTGGTGCCAGAGGCAGGAAGGGGAGACTCGTACGCTGACAGCAGGATGGCATCCTGGGGATGTTGCTGCAAAGGAATAAAGGGTCCGCAAGATTTGGTTCTGGTGACTTTGACCCTGCGCAGCTCAGCTTGGGACCCTCGGAGGACCATGGGGCTGTAAGGTGGGGCAGCGCTAGGGAGGTGCACCTGGGAATGGGAAAAGCCATTCACATGGGGGGGTGCCGCCGCAGTCGAGGAACGAGGAGAGGACATGTCCTGCCAGATCCTGCCTGTGGACTGGTACAGGTGGTGCTGCATTTGCATCCTCTGCTGTTTCCCCCAGATATAGTCCATCAATAGCTCATTGTAGCCTCCACCAGCCCCTCTGCTGCCCATGGACAGACGCATTTTAGCTTGTTCCACAGAGCCATCAGCATGTCTCTCAGGGCTGCCCAGGTGAATGTGTCGCAGCTTGCCATCAGTCAGTGTCTCTGAGCTCTTGTAGGGCCCTCCTCTGGGAGGCATCCCGTTTCTCGGAGCAGGATCATCAGGGAGGCTCGACCGATCCAGCAGGGCCTCTGAGCTATTACTGCGCCTGGCCCGGGAGCTGTAAGGGCAGCCTCGGCGGTCAGAAGAAGAGCCCTCCTGGGCCAGTGGAATCATATAGGGCACATCCAGACTGCCCGACCACTGCTTCAACCCGTTACCACCCGACGCATCCGACCTAAGGCAGAGATTAGCGTAACAGCTTACATTAGGAGAGGACTCAGAGCAGCTGTGGATGTAGAGAAGTGATTAAAAGTAATTTTCCTCAAAACCATGTTACTGCATTTCACAGAAAATCACTTAAGAAGGGACAGTTTTTATGCTTAAAGACCAAACGATGAGCTCAAGCCCTCCCTGGTAGCTAAATATGACACTAATTGTTGTTCCAGCCCTGACTCTGTGTCTAAATTGAACTAAGCCATTAAGCCATTTCCAACCACTCAGTTATCACAGTGGGAGGGAGCCGTAGCTGTGCTGGATCAGACAGAAGCAGCACTGTATCACAGATTACCTGACGTGAACGCTGATTGGAGCAGTTCGGGCCAAGAGAGGAGTAGCGGGAACACTTCTACCCTCGACGTTAGATGCACTTCTTGGTAAAGAGTGAGTTGGGCTGTGAGAAGTAACACGAGAGGACATGGAAATTTAACATTTATCACCAGTACATGAAAACAATCGTGATTATATGTGTACACACACAGACACATCAAGCAGACAGCCCAGCTTGCAGTATCTAAGTACCTAACAGAGCTTGTTACAGAGTTGCGGCGTGTCCTCATCTCGTAGTAAATCTCAACTGGCGACAACTTCCTGCTGATCCTGTGGTCAGGGCTGCCCACAGTGAGCCGGGGCTGAGACAGAGAGCGCTGGTCAGCAGCCACACTGGGAGAAGACTCTTCTGGGAGAAGAAAAACAAAGACATGATCTTTTCATGAAGCCCACTCACAGATGACAAAAAAAGCTTACTTTCTTTTCCAGCACGACAAGCCAAGTGTGCTATTTTGGTTTACAACTGAAATGTGACTGCGCATTCTTACTCGGTGTCTTAACACCAGACGTGTGAGTGACGTATTTTTAATGTGAAAAATGCTGCAAATACACGACGTGAGTGTTTCATTTGACTCACCATTGTCATGGGATGTTGAATCTGACATGGAGCTTGTACTCTCTGACATGACAGTGTCCTCTGAAAGACAACAAACCATTCAGGTGACAGATGTTACAGCATGAAATTTTTTATCTTTGCAAAACATAAATGCAAAGCTAAGAGTTTTTTTTAAGAAGCATAAAATGTTAATGACAACACAGCTTTGTTTTTATTCACTTGTACTTGTTTTTTTTAAGTAGGTGTGGTTTTTGGTGCTTTGTAATCATACCTGTGTGACACCCCCGATGAACTGTCCTCTTGCTATTTGGGACATTTCGGCCTGATTCTGAGTTTCTGTACAGAGCACCAGTGAAGATGTCTTTCATCTGCTTTCTTTGGGCAGCCTCATCCTGCAGCCAGGGACAGCCAGTCGTGTTAGACCACAAGTACACACAGCGGTACATCTGCTGCGTAAACACAATTGATATTCAAGGTGTTGACTTACCTCTGCCTTGGCATTGGGCGCCAGGCCAAGTCTGCGCTGCACCACTGGGGGTTTCTCTCCCGTCTCCAGAGGGAAAACACGTGGCAACTTCCCAGTCAGCTCCTGCAGAGGACATTCATTAGCCCCCAGTAACTAAAATCCACCTTCTCAGTGGCCTGTCAGCTCTAACGTCTTACATAAAATGGAACCACTTAACAAATTACTTAAAGTTTCAATAAAACCAGCCTTTAAATAGTTGACTGCACTGAAATAGATATGCCAGAAATAATGGTTCTATCATGATTTAGCTCTAAAGCAGAAACAGAATAACTCTGCAGATGAGTAGTGCTTCAAACTGAATTAGCTACACTGAAAACGCAGCTAACTCAGAACAGAACAGAATGAGTCACTATGCATCCAACTGAAAACACAGGGATGTTTTAAACAGCTGTTAATGAAAAGCTGAGGCAGCTGTGGCTTCATTAAGACGTGCTGACAAGTTCTCTGGAGCAATCAAGTGTTATTATGCAGCCATTTTATAAGAGAAAAAAATATCACAGATTCAACAAGTTGCCTCTAAATTTACAGAATGTTAAAAATATGCTATAATCTGCAATATGCCTCTTCTTAGTAAAAACACAAAAAACAACAAACTGCAGTTGTCATCTAACACTTGAGGTGTATGGAGTGAGAATGTTGTACCCTGAGTCACGTATGTTTCAGAAGGGAAGTGAGAGCTACTCACTGCTTCCTGCAAACAGACTTGTTTGAGCTCTCCCACTCTGGTGTTGAGGAGAGCCTCCAGGGCCTGCTTCCTCTCTTGTAGAGCCGCAATCCTCTCAGCCTGCAGCTTGCTGTCCGGGCAGCCTTGAACATCTACACAGCATAGCACATTTTATGTATCAGAAAGACTGAACTAGAGTTAAAGGCCAGCAATATTCTATTTTCGGTTCATCCTACTAACAATACTACTAAGTATTGTCTGTGTATCCAAAGCCTGATGTATATTCCAGTCCCAAAACCATTAAAATCACAACAGTGAGTCACATTGTTGCACTGGGAGACGTGTTTCTTCGTTGCCTTATACATGGAAAATGTAGTTTTGTTGCACATACACCGTCCTGGCTGCTTAAATACTCATTAGAGCACAAATTGTGTTTTCATGCACAGCTAAAAACAGTCCACAAACAAATGCACTACTTACTAGTTTGAGTAAAGTTTACTAACAATGCCAAGCTGTTTCAGTACATTGATGAGAAATAATGAAACTTTATATTCTTGTTTTTAGTAGGAACCAGTTAGCTTGGGGCTGAAAGCCACAGACAGAATAGGAAAGTCAAAACGTTTTGAGAGACGGACTAACACTGTTAGTGTTAGAAAAATATAGAAAATGGCAGACTAAATTAAAAATGCTGTGCTTTAGTTTCTACTGTTTCACAATGGTTGCTTTGTAAAGTGTCTGTTTCTAACAACATGAAGTCTGCTCACAGGCACTGCTACTTGGTGCCCTGATAAGATTATCTGACAGCTGTGGTGACAGCACGTGAACAAACGGCCTTCACACATACAGCTGTTTTTTCAGCTGGCCGTTCCCTTGAGAAAAACACTTTTGTTTTCCTTCTATTTAACTGTCAGGGAAAAACCCCCACAAGCTGATAGATTTGCCAGGCCATTTCAGGCTCGTCCAGACACGAAAATGTCTGTCTTTGCACAGTGAGAAAGTCATTGTTACTCACCAGGAGCCCCCAAACCCATGGATGTGATCAGATGTCCTTTGACCTCCATGTGATGTAATTCTGGGGACTTTACAACTCACGCTCCCAGCAGGGCCCTCACCTGATGAAAAAGAAACAGAGATGTAACTGCTGCTGAGATGCATCAACAATATATATTCAGGCTTAGATGTTTTCTTCTCTCCAACCTTGCCGTATCAGCCATGTGTTTTCTTGAGGTGTAGAGCCAATGGTTGCATTTCTAGCAAGTCAGCAGCAGACGAGCATGGGCCTCTCCTAGATCAGATTACACCAGGTACCATCAGGGGGAGCCACTGCACCTCTGTTTAGGTGTCTAAAGCAGAACCCTTGAAAATGTGGGAAAAAATTACTAACACAACCTAAAAACTACATACAGTGACTTTCCCCTTGCTGAGTATCTAATGATTTATGCAGTAAAGAGAATCTATTGCCAGGAGCAGCTTCACTATAAACCATAAACACATAAAGCCATATTAAAAAAAATGCATTTAGCCGGTATTATGGAACATTTAGAAAATACTGAAAGTTCAAAAAAAGTCGGATCATAACTTAACATGCACCTTAAGGCATTCTGAAAGTGTGTAATACTCTAAAATTAGCTCTCAGATACAATTAGCAACCAATTCATTTGCAAAGAGAAGGAAAAACGAGACAGGATAAGTAAGATTAATAATGTATGGACAGAAATGGAGATGGAGAAACCAAAGTCTCAACAGCCACTAGTACAAAAGAGAGGGAGCCAGAGGAGTAGAGCCCGGAGCAAAGTGATGGAATAAATAACAGAGGTGAGGAAAAAATGCAATGTTCAGTGAAGCTTCCTTTTTGATGCTGTCATAAATATCAAGGTTTACATGAAATTCACTTTGCGTGAAATTATGTTTACTATATTTTATAGCTTCTACATAGCCTATCATATGGTCTGAGATAGTTCTACTGTGAAGAGGGGGGAAACAGTTGCCTAAAATTTAAAAAGATAACCTAAGACAAGAAATGCAGCCTTCACTCGCCTGTAGCAAGTGAGCAATGTTTCATGTGCACTTTTCCCCACATAATGGAGGTTCATTACAAACAAAGCCTCTCCCCTAATACCCAATAGAGACTTCCAAAAATAGCGCTAGCGTTTTCTGCCAAAAGCCTCTCACTTAACGCTGCTCACAAATCGCTGCCATAAACAAGCATCTTGCCAGTCGAGTAAATCATAAAGTGACTCCATTCAACCCACAAATCTAGATGGAAAGCCTCAAGGGCTGAATCAAAATTACCCGTCCAAAGTCTGCTTCTGCCAGCATCACATATTTCAAAACGAAACATTTATCTATCAGTTACTCTGAGCAGCTGTCTCAAAGCTCTGCGCACAACTGACCAGCGTTTTGCATTTTTGGGTCTGGAAGACACAGCGTCCTGTTTTCCTCATTCAAACAACGTAAAGAACGAGGCTCACTTTGTGTAAGGACACGCTTGAAATACTTGTACCGAGCTTGTGTTGGCTCCTGTCCTGGAACTGAACCAGTAACTGCTGTTTGCTCCTGTACGTGTGAAAACCCGCAGCATGCTTGACCTCCCATCGACAGACAAGTAGGAGCCCTTCGCACAAACAAGCGACAGAGTTACGACCGGCGCTCAGACAAAAGCTCATCACATGAATCCTGTTACACAAAACCGAGTCTGCAATTATTGAATTTTAAGTTAATCTAATATACTGAGAAGGACTTTCACCTGGGAATGTATGAGGCAGTGTCATGTCTGTTCTCTGTTGAACAGCAGTAAACCCACTGAGAGAAACACTGAGAGCAGACAGACAGAGACATTTGGTAGCTTATTCATCTGGATGGTCGCTGGGCAGCTGCATACTGGAGCCAAAAGGCTGCCATGCCTCTTAAGAATGGCTTTGTCCAGCAACCAAAACATTTGCTTGGAAACTCGGTGCTGTCCTTTTCACTCACTAAAATGTGCCCTTTATCTCTTTAGAAAACTAACAATCCTTTGACTTGAGCACTCTGGGTTAACTGATGTATCCTTTTTGCTAACTGATATAACACAGTCATTTAAATTATTACAATGTATCTTTTGGAGTAAAAAGTACACAGTTTTCTTACAAATGAAAAGTGAAATTCATTAGAGATAAAAACACACTTTGTTGTCTTCAACACACAGGGTTTTTGCTGCTACAACCCTACTTGGTCTGGAATGACCACTGAGCTAATGTAAACAAAGGTTAGTAAGTGCTGTGTACCTGACATTACTACCAGTTTGCTGACATAATCACTCTACATACTTATAGGGCAACACACACTTGTGACGTGTTGGAATACACTACTGTCCTATTTCCCAGTGTTGCTGCGCAACACCTCTCCAGAAAAACAGCAATTTTATCACGTTCAACACATCCTGAGTGCTGTACCTTAACACCTTATTCTGCGTGTAGCGTTCTGTGTGTGTGCTAGTGGCATCAGCTGACCTATGTGAAATAAGGTGATGCTGCACAAAACAGTTGGTGTGTGCTGCACTTCACACTATGTCTTAGCATTTACCATTATCCCTTAATTATTCGTTGTTTGGCAGAGGTTTCACACCAGGTTACACTTAGGTAGGTTTTACTTTAGTGTAACCTACAGTGCATCCATTTGATGAAAGCTCTTACATTTGCTATTCTGGTATGTCTTTCTGTGGAAAAGTTTTACAACAATAGTTGTTGCTATTTGTTTAGAATAAAGACGAAATTAGAAGCAAATGTTAATAACTAAACAGAGAAACAGAACTGACAGGAAGAAAAAGAAAAAACTGGAAATGTTTAAAAACTGGCAACACAATATGAGCCTCAATTTCTGACATGACACCCCCACCCCCCAAAAAAAGAAATACAAACAAAAAAACACATCATGCCACTACTCCAGGGTTAGCTCAGGTATCACTTTACGACAAGGGCAAATCAATCAACTGCAACAGGTAACCATTAACCAGTATGAGTCTAACAAATAACACACCTGAGGGGATCAGGGTTCTCACTGGCTGAAGTGAAGCGCAAACTGCTTAAACATCTGGTGTACAGATGTGTGCAGAGGTGCAGGTACAACAACACAAGACTGCATCACATTCCAGAGAGAAGCCTGCAGGAGAGATGGCAGGACAATGAAGAATCAGATAAACTGAGTCACAGAGAGCGGCATCAAAAGAGAAACCATAGGAGCAATGAGCACAAGAGATACGAATGCAACACGATCCTCAAACACATGTTGACTTAGCATGTGTAGGGGTATGAGGGACGGGAATTGTGGGAACCATGTTGATTAAAACATGAGCTGCGTGAGAGTGAGCTGCCCCTGTGCAGCGTGCATCACACGAATGCAAATCAGCAAGGAGTTTAATATTCAAGTCCGACAAGCTAAAGCCTGTAAGGTAGGTCCAATCCTACCGTGTCCGCACACAAGGAACTGCACTGCTCTCTCGTCAGCTTAGAAGTCATACATATTAAATTGCAACATTCATAGCAAAGCTAAATTACCACAGCAGCAGTTTTATATGCAGTTTTGTCTTGATACATACGATGCCTCCCAGCCCTAAAAGAGATTCATTCTCTCTGCTGTCTGCTTTTATCTGGCCCAAGAGTCCCGGGAACAGGCTACTGATGTCAACCGCATTTATATAACAGAGGTATTCATGACTTACAGTACCGCTTGTCTTAATATGTAACAGCAGATGTATATGCAACAAGCTTGTATCTGTTGCCAGTGGCAACGGATGCACAAAATGTTTGTGAGTCTCTTTCAGCAGACATTATAGAGCAGCTGAGATGTGAAAGAGCAGCTGAAACATCACCTCCAGCTCTCCACAGACAGGTGAGGCTGGCAGCCCTCATGTTGACTGTTGGTGTTGACACAGCTGTTGCTGTTGTGAACTTACATGGTAACCAGAGCAGAGTTACAACTATACGGCTCCTGCCCGAGGAGTGCGAAGGTCCGGAAAAGGTCTCTGAGGAGTCCAAACTAGACCGAAAGTGTAGTATTGTAATATCCATGATCAAATGTTGCATGGTTGGCTCTCACAATGCCTTCAGTGACATGCCATGACACTTCGGTGTTTTTTCTTGACGCGTCCGACCTCTGAGCCTCGCTTTGTACGAGTAATAACAGTAATGTGACCTTTATCTGCACGCTCTCCCGGCCATTCACCATCACACCCCAACCAAGGATGTTGTATGGCCATTGTTTACTTGTAATGATAAGGATGGGGAATAGAAACGTCAACAGCCAAATGGTTTTAACCTCTGCATAAAAAAAAAAAGATCAGTCAGCTGATTCAGTGCAGAGGATTTACTGAACTACCTCCACATGACCAGCCCAAGCCAAAGAACTGTGGAGGGCTTATGGGAGGTAAGGTGACCCCCCCCCCCCCATGCTAATATGGTCTCTTCTTGTACTCTCTATATCCATGAAATATTGATTTATAACACGCTTATCGGCACACAGCAGCTTAGCTCGGACTCAAAATTTCTCCTTCCCGGCCTTGACACTCACCTTTGCACGTTTGACACAAGTACCGCGGGTGAAACAAAGCAATCTTGGTGATTGGTATCCACCTGGATTCTGCTAAGCTGAGGTGGGGGGAGTAATAAAGAAAGGAATGCGGCTCTAACGCCCGAGGGGATTATTCCTATGCATTTTCCCTTTGCTCTGTAACACCTGGAGGGATTTCTGTACAGTGTGTACTCCAAAGTCGTTTTCATGTTCCACTGTGGCTGTAATCTGCCTTGTTTGGTTTTGGAGGGAGTTCAGGGCTGCTTATGATGTGCAGCCACAGCCATATGCTTACATTCATTACTACACATGCATAACAGCCTGATCTGATTCTTTTGTGCTTTTGTGGCTGTAGAAATGTGGGGGAATCTTATCCGTGACGCTACTGCTCTGGTGTATTTTCGACACTTGATAAGGTCTGGGATTTGATTCCCTGAGCTCACACACTTCACACCAAGACACTTTGCACGAAGCCAAAAGCATATTTTTCATTTTAAATCCAGGCAAATGCACAAGTAACAGGGTTTGCTGAAAGGTCCTGGATCCAGATCAGGGGGCGAGTGTGTGACTTTTCACACACCCCGCTAAACCTGCATGTTTGTCAATCGCTACTGATCCAGATGCTTAAACCATGTCAATCCATGTCTTAAGGGCATTATAAAAGGAACAGTGTCACCTTGATGTTACAAAATAGCAAAAGAATACCATTGTGTTTGCACCAATCTGGGTCAAGGTCCGATTCCATGGTGTTTCAGTGGATTGTAACACTCAAAGTAGCATGAAGAACCACAGGCAGTGCTTTACAGAAAAGTAGAGTGATATCCTACCAATTTGAAGATAACAGTGAACAGAGATGGGAGAAAACAGACACCAACATGTGTCAAAATCCCCCTGAACAAGATTAAACCAAGCATGAATTGTCTCCTAGTTTCAATCTGCAATAAAACAGCTAAACTAAACCTCTTTGCAAATGGCCTAATGGTCCAATAATTCAAACCCCTTGTAAATACAAGAACTTGAAAATAGGAACGATCAGCACTTTAGAAAACGCTTGGCAGCAAAGTGGAAAATCCTCTTCTGAAAACAGAGAGGTGTTTCCCAGATACACCAAAAGGTGGATTAACAGTGAAACACCCTAAAGGCACTGACTGACCCCACACAACCCATTTGGGTGAGTTTTTTCAGATCCAGACAGACATCCGTGTTCAGGAATCTGTTCATAATAGGGCTTTAACACTGCTGCATGAGAACAAGCAGTATTTATAAAATGAGAACAGTGGAACCGATGAGGCCCAGCAGACAGCAGTAGCAGCGTGCTTCTGCCTATTTTGCTCCATAAAGATGCAGTAACAGGGAGAAGTTGTGTATTCCCTAGAAGCATGACACAGATTTTTACTCCTTTACTGCTTCCCGTTTCAATTCACGCAGATGCTGTTGCAATCCCGGCATTTCCTGCCTTTTAATTAATGTGCCACACAAACAATATGTTTACAGGGGATGGAATACAACACACGCGCACATGATGGAGACATTTTGGACTTCAGTTCATGCTGGTCCTTGGTATTTCATTTACAGGCGTGTTATTTAGAGCATAAAAGCATATGTGTTCCCACATTAAGCCCGGCTTCTGGGGCTGCTACAGCAGTCACTCTGCATCTGCATAGTTGTTGTAGACGGCAACGCCGGCTGATAGCGAAATACCGGACTCACTAATAGAAGCAATAACATATCGCAGGTGTGTCACTGACTGACACGATGACAAACCCGGTTTTTACGTTAAGGCACATGCACGTCCAAATAATAAATAAAATAGCACATAACGTATTGCGGTAGGCTATCCTATGTAGGCCAAGCTATTTTCTTTATAGAGAATATAGGTTGTGTTGAAGGCTATTCATTAATACGCCCAGTTAGGATGAGAAGGACATCTTGGAGCAGAATCCTCTCTTACCAGAGAGCATGACCGATGCCTTCCGAGGTCTCCGTGGTCCTCTGTAGCAAAACCAAGCCGAGAAAAAACATTCCTGCGTGAGACCAGAGGGCAAAATCCTCCCAAGAAGAGAGCTTCAATTAATTAAACGTGCGGTAATTCGTAATACACGAAAAAAAGCCCCTCGTTCATGGTGGCTTCGTATCCCAATTGTAATTCAGCAGCAGCCTCGCGACCTCCGCTGTGTCGGAGCCCTGCGCATCTCAGCAGACCTGCTTTCAGAAAGAAGAAAGCTTTCCCTTCTGCGCCGGATGAAAACCCTCTATTTTACACAGCCAACTGACTCAACACTGTCACGGCAATGATGCCCCTCCCAGATGTTACATGCCTTCAATGTGCGCCAGTTAATCCTGACACAAACATTGTTAACCAGTTGTTGCATAGGCACGCGCGCAATAACGCTGAATAGGGAAAAAAACAACAACAAAAATTGGAATTCTTCTCCTAGACTATGAAATTATTCTGCGAGGATCATTTTTAAAACAGTCGGCCTATATTTTCAGTCAATGTGCGGGACCTTCTAATCCAGTCAAAACAGCTAAAACCCACATGTGTATAAAACTAACAGTAGGCTACTATTAGTGAATTGTGACTAATCTAAGATACCATGTCCAAAATGGTGAAAACTAGCCAGTGGGCTAAAAGAACACTGGCACATTTACAGAAATGTTTATGTGTGTTGTCCTTATAAATAAAGATAATTGACTAAATATATCTATTAAATTCAACGAGTAAAGAAGATTATTTGGAAATTTAAAAATTCTATTTAAAAACAACTTAAAAACTTTAACAACTGCTATCCGTAATAGCATTCACAATAAAAGCCTTGTTCAAATGAAACATAAGCTAACTTTTAGTGTTTGATTATTTAACATTAACATTTTAGGCTCAAATGGAGCCTTTCCTTTTGTTTAAAAGAACACCAATGTATAACTACCAATAGGCCTATACATAACAAGCTAATGTATGTCAGTGGTTCTTATACTTTTCAAGGACCCCTAAACTGACACAAGACCAAGGCCCCCATTTGAAAAGATTTTGTCCCAGGGTCCCCCATCTGATAGGATTTTAACTTTTACAATGTTTTATTACAGAAAGTGTATAAAACCCATTAAGTAGTCATACATTCTGTCATTTTGTTACTTATGGATGGAATTATAACAAAAATAAACCATTCCCCTTTTTGCTAGGGACCCCTTGGAAACCCCTCAAGGACCCTTGGGGGTCCCCAGACCCTACTTTGAGAACTACTGCTGGAAATCAACTAAACTGATATGCTCAGATATGCTTCACTTCAAACACACAGACCTTGGTGGACCACAGATAGAAGTCTCTGAAGCAATATAAAATATCAGTTTGGCTTAATTTAAAGGCATTGGCTGTGGTTCCCACTGAATCAGTGCTTAAAATTAAAACCCATAACTCAACCAACAAGTAAAATCACTGTTGATGGTCACTGGAACGTGATCAGGCTCAGTCTACTGTAGTCCCATCACATCATATACTCCAAAAAATAATGGTTATATAGCTAGATATACCCATGAAGTAGCAGCTCTGGTCATATGTATGACTATCACTTAAAACCTGAGTAAGAGAACACTATAACTATTACTACTACTACACTCATTATTCTCAGTGTGTGTGTGTGTGTTTCAGGTGTAGTCAGGGCCAACAGATATATTTAATAACTGCAATTAAAAGCAACTCCGCAAAAAAATGTTTATTTGCACACTGCCTTCAGAAAGACAGACAGACAATGTTTTCATTCCAAGACTAAATAATAATATATATTTTTAAAAGAATATTTAACTGATCCCAAACATTTCAAAATATTCACAGTTACTTGAGGAAACCAAACAAACAAAAATAAAATCTGATATGGAGAGGGGGACGGGAGAAAAACTTACATCATTTAAACTGAATCAATCAAAAGGTTTAAAATACAATACCAACAGAGGTTTCACACACTTCTACCAACCTAATAAAGGTCATCCTATGTGCGTTTTGGCCACATTACCAGTTTCATATGAGGATATAATTATGGAAAATACACTGAACAAGCATACTAAAAGAACTGTACATACTCTGAACTCGGTATTGTTCAGTTTCAAGCATGTCAAATCTGCCAATCAAGCTCATGTCTTGTGAGCCCCAAAACGATGATGAATGTGGAAAAGAATCTCTAGGGTTTCTGCTAGAAATACTGTCTAGGGGAGTAATTTGAAAATAAATGTAATAAAGCTTTTTTACGTTTGTTAGTTGTAAAATGTTAATTTGTTTTTAAATGTGCAGCTTTACTGCATTGAAATTACAGTGCTTTTTAAAAAGTATTCTACCCCCTGCTCATGTCATTTTTAAAACCCTGTGTCAGAGTGGATGTAATTAGACTTCTTACAATGGTAATGTTAGAGAGAACTGACATCTGGACCCCAGGACAGTAACATTACTGATTTTTCACCCATCTGACCACAGAACCCTCATTAACTTGAGTCTCCCACGTCTTCTAGGAGTCATCACAGATGTCCTGAAGTTATGTTTGTTTGTTTTTTTAAAAAGTGGCTTTCTCTTTGCATCTCAGGCATGAAGCTGCAACTGTTAAAGCAACAGTTGTCTGAACACTGTTTCCCAACTCAGCCATGGAGCCATGTAGGTCATCATGACTGACCTTTGGGCTCCATGGGATATTCTGTGTCCTAAAAAAGGTTCTATTATCCTTCTCAATTGGGTTTTTCCAGTTACATTAAGATACACAAGTCATATTAGATACAGGTTATCTATATTCAACCCATTGTAGGAAACCAATTATTTCCCTTCCCCTAATGATTTACGTGTGTCATAGTAAAAGGGGTACTCACCCCCGCCCCTTTTTTGTTTTGCTAGTTTTATTTTTTCCACTAATATTTTATTCAAAAAGCATAAGTCTACAGGGAAGTGAATACATTTTTTTTATATAAAACAGTGAAATCTGTCTAATGAAATCAGGGTCTGGTATACAAGGCATATTTCACAATCTCCTTTTTCCATTCCTGCACCTACCAATTCACTTAAATGCTACGAGTCAAGCAAACACTAAGAAATCCACCACAGCTCCTGCAGTGATCATTTTACATCATTTACTATGAATTATTTTGTCCAAAAGTCTTCTGGTTTACTCTATTAAATAGTGTACACATCATACATGTAGCATGGCAACACTGTTGGCATGTTAAGATGCAGAACATATAACAACATTTTTGGGCTGAAAGAGACATCATTTGGGGTTAAATGACCACTCAAAAAGTGTAGTAACGGTGAGAGGGCGAGGGTCGTAGATTCCTCAAGTAAAGGTGTGAATCAACCAACCGCACACTAACCACACAGTGGACTAACAGAATTCAGCTCTACCCATCCCACTGCCCAAAATCGGACACAACAGTTAGCAGAAAATCCATTCACCAAAAAAACATCTGAGAAGAAACACGTCTGGATTATAATGTCACAGCACCGGGAATGCCTTTGGTGATTCTTCAAATAATCAAATCATACTACTACAGTCCAGAGGTAAATCTGTAAAACATCCTTTATCACCACCAAAAGAAAGACAGAAAGAAAAAGAAGAAAATGGGTGGTCTCCATTGCGGCCACAGATTTCCTTCTCTCTCTGCTGAAGCTAAAGTCCTTGCAGCGCTCTGCAGTTAGTACAGATGTTCACTTTCCTCTTAACCAAGAAATCACATGTTGACGCCCGCTCGAGTATGAGTGGGTCTTCATTCGATAATGGATCTTTGGGGGGCAGTCCCTGGCACACAACGTACTTCTCCAGCCCCAAGAGCAGGTCGACCACCTCAGTCACCGAGGTTAAGCACGCTGGGTGCTTGTCGTACAGCGGGTGGGTGGGGAGCAGCGGCTGCTTTTGGACGGTGACCTGATAGCAGAAGCCTGGGTCGATCAGCACCATGGTGTCAGTCATGCCCGACTGTTTAGAGCACTGGATGAGCTGCAGCTGCGGGCCCTCCACCATTATGGCATACCACAGGATTGGCAGTACAGAGGAGCGCAAAGAGTGGAGCAGTTTCATTAGCTGGTTTTCAATGTCCGCACCACTCCCTGCTGGGTTATCAGCCAAACTGAAGATCTGTGTGATCTGCAGAGAGCGACAGAACGGCAACAAGTGCACAAAAGGTTTAGCATTATTTGTGGCTATTCAGACATCTATAAAGTCTCAGCAGGACACTTACCATGGGCAACTCCTCTTCTTCTTCCTCCTCCTCTTCCTCTTCCTCAACATGCTTCTGACCATCTCTACCTGCGTGGCATTTCTCTGCATTCCATCTGCTGAGCTGGTCCTGGTTTAAGAAGGGTAAACTCATGAGCTCAACTAAGCTAAGCTCATTGTATCAAATCATCTTTAAGCTTCAGTTTAAACATGTGTGTCTATTGTTTGGATTATTAGAACATGGAGCGGGCACTACATGCTCACACTCAGCTGCCAATGTATTACTGTAGGCAGACTGAGCTCAAACTAATACAGTCAAATACAGCAGTCCTGCAATATGACCCACCTTCAGGAAGGTTATAAAGTTCAAGATGTAGTTTTTAGTATTCTGTTTACCTTTATCAGGCATGCGACCGGCAAAGGGCAAAAAAGCAGGAAAATATACTGAGACCACCCGACACCCCGATTAAACTGGCGGCGGAGCGAACATAGAAGGTAAAGCAGGAACCATGACAGTAAATTATTTAATGGATGTGTTGCAGTGGGAATCAAAGACAAGGGTCTAATCCACTGCCCCATCGCAACCTCTATAATAATTATTATTTTGTATTAATTTTTACCAAACTTCAACAGCTAAATGTGCAACATGAAACATGAAATAATTGAGTCTATAACTAAATAATGTAACTACTAACTTTCAAATTAGTTCAGTTGAAGTTAATAGATGATTTTTAATGAATAAGAGACAGCAGCAAAGGTTGTTGCCTGTTTAAGACCTGGTGGCCTGACTGTTAAAGAAACACTTATATTCTTCAGGAAACTCAAACAGCTGATCAGTCTCTATCTGTTGATAGACTGTAGGAAAAAGTTTGGCATTTCAACTCTAGCAGCGGGCGGGCGTGTGCGTGAGACGACAACGACCGCGACGGTTTAACGGGATCGCGCCAGTCACACAGAAGCCATTGCCATGGTTACCTCGCGAAGCACTTGTTTGCCTGTCTGTTGATGAGGAGCGCGGAGCGACCCGTGTAAAAAGGCCTTATATAGCCTAAACCTT